TTTCAAACACCAACTATGTGTTTGATTAGAAAAAGAATTCTGATTTATCAGATATTTTCACCTACATGTCAGACTTGGCTTTCTGCCATAGTGAGTTAATGTTGAAAATGATAACATAGAAAATGAGATATATTTCAGCTTGGGTAGCTAGCTCAACTATTGTCTTCTAATCTTAAATGGCTTAGTAATGGTTCCTGGTTCACTTTATGCCAAATATAATCGTAGCTGATGAAGTCTGTCTTTCTTCCACGGTATTTTCACAGCAAGAATATCATGTTTCACAAAAGTGTGTGTGTGTGTGTGTGTGTGTATTTGTGTGTGCCATGCAGATGAGGCTTTAAGTCAGGGCCTGGGCACTGTTCTTGAGCTTTTTGGCTCAAGGTTAGCACCCTACTATTTAAGCCACACTCCAATATGTAGCTTTTTTTTTCTTTTCTTCCTTTTCTTTTTTCTTTCTTTCATTTTTGTTTAATTCAAGATAAGAATCTCACAGACTTTTCCTGCCTAAGCAAGTTTCAAACTCTGATCGTCAGCAATCAGCCTCCTGAGTAGCTAGGATTACAGGTGTGAGACACCTACACCTGGCTTTAGTTTTAAGTAAAATTACTTTGAATTAATATTGCTAACCTCATTCTAGGTTTTTTTTTTCTGTTATGACAGCCCTGTTTCGTGTGTCTGAATCTCTATCAGATAATGACAACATGACTCCTGACTCATGCTTACTTTATATTAGACTTCCTAGTGGGTATTTTCCTCTCTTGAGACAAAGTCTCCTTTCTGGGTAACCACTTGTAGGAAGACAAAACGATCAAGCAGAAGAACTGTGGTTATTCCTTCTCAGGCTGTCCCTATTCCTCTTACACAGTAAGATTTTCAGAAGTCATTCATGACAATGAATTAGGAGAGAAAGAGTAAGGCAGCAAAGTATAAAATCTTCAAAGCCAGGCACCATACCTGTAATCCTAGCTACTCAGGAGGCTGAGATCTGGGATCATGGATCAAAGTCTGCCCAAGCAGGAAAGTCCGTGAGACTCTTATCTCCAATTAACCACCAGAAAACCGGATGTTTCGCCGCGCTCCCCTTGATCTGAAGAGCTCAGGGACAGCACCTGGGCCCAGAGTTCAAGCCCCACCATCCAAAAAAAATTAGAATATAAAACTTCCATAGGGGTATTATAAAGCATATCATGCATATTTTTAAGTAGAGTGTTTAAAATTAGACTTTAAAAAAGCACTGTGGGTATATAAAAACACATCCACTATACTCTTTATTAAAACACAATAAAATTTCTAATTGTAGTAATGGAGTCAGATTCATTTATAAAAAAGTAAAAAAGAAACGATTTAAGCCGGGTGCTGGTGGCTCACGCCTGTAATCCTAGCTACTCAGAAGGCTGAGATCTGAGGATCACGGTTCAAAGCCAGCCCAGGCAGGAGAGACCGTGAGACTCCTATCTCCAATAAACCACCAGAAAACTGGAAGTGGCGCTGTAGCTCAAGTGGTAGAGCGCTCGCCTTGAGCTGAAGAGCTGAGGGACAGCGCCCAGGCCCAGAGTTCAAGCCCCACGACCTACCAAAAAAAAAAAAAAACGATTTAGTGATACACCTATAATACCAGCATTCAGGAAGCAGAGGTAGATAATCATGAATCCAGGCCTATTTAGACTATATATTAAGACCCTAGCTTAAAAAAGTACACAAAAATTAATTTAAAAGATCTCATTTCTTTATTGATATAAAGATGGGAAAAACAGACTTGCTGGGCTTCCCATGCTGATTTTCACTTGTGAAAGCACTCAACGTGTTTATTCAGTCTGCAGCTTCTTCCCACATGACTTTCAAGGTGTGATTTTAACACAAATGGAGCTCACTGAGTGATGTGACTGACTGAGGAAGAGCTGGTTCATGTAGATATTAATCTCTAGTCCTAGCTCAACAGAGAATATTCTTGCTGGATTTGTTAAAAGGCTCTGAAAGGAAGGAAGAGACATTCGTGAGAACTTCCCTCAGATAAACTATGTTTTAGTTTAAAGAAATCCTGCTCAGTTATATTCCCCAAATATCATATATAAGATGAGTAAGTTAGGGCAGATGTTGGAAACCTTGCTTCCACTCCCCACAAGGAATTTTTTTTTCCTGTTAAATTTCCTATTGTTATAATGAAACAAGCAAACAGAAACACATACACCCACATTCACACCCACGCCCATCCCCCTAAGAAATAGGCAAATCTACTAGGAATCAATATTAGCAGCTCCTCCCTAATGACCTTAATCTAATTGCTCATGATTTCCTAACTCCTCCCCCCACCATCTACGTACTATAGTCATATTAAGTTTCCACTTTAAAAATACCTCATGATGGGGCTAAGTTTTAATACACAAAGCCCTGGAGAACAAACTATATCCAAATTACTACCATCTAGCCTCTTCTTCTAAGTAGTAGATATTTAAAACTTTTTTCATTGCATTTCTAATTATATGTACATCAGAAACAATTCTGAAAATGTCAAAAAGCCAGAGGAAGAGTAAATCATCCACAATTCTGCCACTCAGGAAAAAGAAAAACTTTATTAATAGTATATATGCATAAAATTGATAATTAAAGGATACAGTAAAAGAAAGTTCAAGAACACTTTTAAAGAGAAGAAACTAGCTGGGTGATGGTGGCTCAGGCCTATCTTGCTAGCCACTCAAGAGGCTGAGATCTGAGGACCATGATTCAAAAGCCACCTTAGGCTGCTAAGTCGTGACCCTCTCATCTTCAGTTTACTACTAAAAAGCCAGGAGCAGAGCTGTGGCTCAAGTGGCAGAATGCTAGCTTTGAGCAGAAAAAGTTCAAGAACAGCACCCAGGCCCTAGAACCGGCACAAAAAACAAAAAGTAAACAAAAAATATCAGTATGTGTAAATAAAATTTATGCTATGTAGATGGTATTTCAAGAAAAAGCTCATTTTGTTGGTGTCCTTTATTTTCTTTCTTTTTTAAGAGACCCACTCTGAGATTCCATCTTACCCCAGTTAGATTGGCCAACATTGTGAATTTCAACAACAAACATTAGTGAGGATGTGGGGGAAAAGGAACCCACAGCACTGATGGTGGGAATATAAACAACCACTCTGAACAGCAATCTAGAGATTCCTCAAGAAATTAAACACAAACAAAATGTGTTTGTGACTTTAGCTAAGCATCACTAGCCCACAATATTGTGAAGTTCATGTAATCACTTAATCTGAACAAAGAAATTTTTAAAAATTAAACACAAAGTTGGGTGGCGGTGGCTCACGCCTGTAATCTTAACTACTCAGGAGGCTGATATCTGAGGATCATGGTTCAAAGCCAGTGGGGACAGAAAAGTCCCTCTGAGACTCTTATCTCCAATTAACTACTTAAAAGCCATAAGTGGTGCTGTGGCTTAAATGGTAAGAATGCTAGCCTTGAGCACAAAGAGGCTCAGGAACAGTGCCCAGGCCCTGAATTCAAGCCCCACACATGACATAAACAAACAAACATAGATGTTCCCTACAACCCAACCATACCACTCCTGGGCATCTACCCAGAACATCACAAGATACTGTAAAGACACTTGCACAACCATGTTCATTACTGTACTGTTCACCGTAGCCAAGTTATGGAAACAGCCCAAATGCCCTACAGTAGACAAGTGGATCCAAAAAATGTGGTACTTATACACAATGGGATTTTTGCACCGCTATTAGAAAAAATAATATGTCATTTACAGGGAAATGGTTGGATAGACCTAGAAAAAATCATGTTAAGTGAGATAAGTAAGCCAAGCTTAGAGAGACAAACAGTGCATGTTATCTCTCATATATGAAAGTTAGATCTAAAATATACTGGGACATGATAAATTATATAGGACTATAGGTTTCCACACACAATGAGACCAAAGAAGGATACTTTTAGAGGAGGAAAACAAAGATGCAATGCGTATGTGACTCTGATCATATAAAAGAATATTTATCAAAATAACTCTAGGAAATTGAAACAAGAGGTTTTTTTTCCCTTTATTGTTGCTTTTCTTTTTGTCTCGTTCATTTACATGTTTTTTATGGTGGGGCATAGAAATGGTGGGACAAAGTGTGAACAAATGTAGCCGTGATACTCACAAGACACTATGTTGAAAATGAACTATACAATTTATGAGTAGGGACGGGAGGGAAGGGGTGACATTGTCCAAAAAGAAATGTACTCTACCTGCCTTATGTAACTGTAACCTCTCTGTATATCACTTTTATAATAACCCTTAAAAAACTTTTTTTAAAAAAGAAACCAACATGTCTTTCAGAAACACTGAGATGTAGAGGTAGAAAATGCGAACAAAAGGAAAACAGTTTTAGACTATGCGGGCCAAGGTGACTGATTCCTGCCCCCCAGGGAGGCTACATCTGTAGTTATGATGTCTCCCACACTCCCGTGAGCTGTCACATCTACAGTTCTACCCAGTCTGGCATTTCTTTAAACATTCTGATTTATGTTTGTAAATCAATCTATTTGCAAGTTCTCCTAAGAGTACAAGAATGATGCACATCCATGAAAAAAGTAAGCCCACCATGCATGCGGCACTGCTTTCAAGTCTCACATCTTCATGACATTTATAAGTGAGAAAATATTAAGCTTAGGATATGAAGATTCAAAGGTTTTAATTCTAAAGCTTTGGGATAATACATAAATGTTATATATTTACTTATGAACTTTATATGCTTGAACACACAGGGTTCTTAAGGAATACAACTCAACACTAAAAACCGGCCATGTATCTTACTCTTTCCAGAAGCAATAACGGACAAAGTTAATAGGAGTGTTAAATAAAATCATGTTGCTCTTGTGTACCCTAGAGTTGACACATGAAACAATTATCCCTGCTGCCACAGAGAGGCATACAAGCTACATGAATCTTCACGATCACTTTCCATTTCTTTCCCTCTTGGTTCTTGGAGACACTTTAATCACCCCATTATACAAACATAAACATCACAGAAAAGGAGATGGCACTTTTTTATATGCAAACATTTTATTGAACTATTGTGTTATTTAAGATATAGCTCTCTTCAAAGAGGACACAAAAATTATGGCATTCAGAAACTTTAGGTATAACTCTTCAAGAGTAAGCTATTTTCTTTTTAGTCAGCTTGTTCCAAGAAGTTTAGCAACAAAGAATCTCTGTAGGCCTCTGGTTGTTTCAGACTCAGTTTCTGCTAGCAGAATGGAGAGCTTCCATGATGGTTTTATTGTACTCTGCGATCTGCCTGGTCACATTTTTAATAATTGGCTGGTAATCACTCTCCTGACTCTTGGTTGCTATGACTAATTACACAAGTTAAGGAGTTAATGAAATATAATAATAAATAAATATAGAATAATCTGCCAATAAAATAATCTGTGGATCAGAAAGGAGATAAATTTTAAAGTATAGCACAGAGTCAAAAGAGTAAGCATAAATTGAAGCCCAAAAGGTCAAGCAAAATTTGTTTCAAAAAAGTTTATCTGTGAATAGTTTATTATTTAATGTTAGATATGTCAATCTAATTCTAGTCTCAGCACAATTAAATACTCAAAAAGAAGCTCAAAAGTTTCAACATTCTGGCGTCCACCCTGTTTCAAAACCACCTACTTTATCTTGCCTAAAACTAGAGTGCTGAACATCACACATTCTGGGACTAAGAAGTAAGTTATACTACTAATGGAATAGAGTCCCTAGCATATCCTAGCTGGAAGCAAGCTGGGTACATGCTGCCTGGTAGCAGAAGTTCACCAGCATCCTAAAGAAGACCTACGTTACTACTGAGTCAGGATCTGGTTCTCTAAGAAACATTCTCTCTGAAGGAATCAAAGGGAGCAGGAGACAAATTCTACGAAGATGTTTTTTATAAATACATGTCCTCAAGAGCTGATGCCTCCCTATGATCATATGGGAAGGTACAGAAAATGAGACTTAAGCACCACCTTGTAGGAACAAAGTGAAGTTGAATTGGATGAAGAATTTGAAGATCAAACTTCTCATGGCCCTATTTGGTTATCTCCCTTCACTGGCTAGATTTCCAAGGTATAGCATCACAACAACAAACTAATATGTATTAGTATACCCAGAATCTCCCAGTAACTCCATCTGAAGGAAATAATAACTATTTTAAAAGTGATAAAATTGAGGCTCAAAGAGTTTATGTAAACTGTGCAAACTCCACAACTTGTAAGAGTCAATATTTAAAATTAAATCTTCTGTCAATGGAACTGATCAAGATGCAGTGTACTCATAAATTGACATGTTGAATTGAAATGCCTTTTATAACATAGGCGATTAAACAGAATAAAATTAATACATAAAATTAAACCTCCTGACTTCAAAATCTTTATATTTAATCACTAGGCTGTATGCTTTATGTGGCAACCCTCTAAATTGGCAATTACTCTGGCAATCACTACAAAAGTAAATACATACACATACATACACACAAACATATGCAACCACTTATGTATTTATTCACATACATATATATGCATACACACAACTATTGTAGAGTGGAAAATAAATATGATTTATTCTCACATATTACTCAGTGTTTTGAATATATTAGACAAATGTGTGCTGAACTGAATTCTACTGGAATAGCTGAATTCCTAGAACAAAATTACTCATTTGCACCATTTTAAAGGATACATTCTTTCATCACAAAATTATTTTGTTCATGGTGTTGCCACTTTCTCTCCAAATTTGTAAGCTAAAAACACAAAGGAAATATGTTAACGGATGCTCTTGTTCTAAATACATTACATACTCTTTTCAGAGGATAAGAAACAAAAACATTCAACTTAAAATCTTATCAAGTCCTTGCATTCTGTTGAGATAAAGCTAAGGTAGATTAAAAACAAAACTGAGGAAAGATTAAACAATAGTAAATACATTAATACAATAGGGAATTCTAGAACAGGTTTTATTCTATATGTTTATTTTAATTAGAAAATATTTAAAGTGTTTATTGTATCAATGGAAATGCCAGCTGAAGACAATTTATGATTTTCCTTTTCCTAAAAGAACTTAAAGAAGAAAAATGGGACATGATGGGAATCTCTCCTTGAAGTCTGGAAGTCTAATGCCACAAAAGTAATATATATTCTACCACTGTCAAAGGTTCAGCCACATAGGAAAAACTTCCTTATTTCCAGGGCTAAATTTCCTGTCTAACTTCACAACTGTGATAAGAGCAGAGCTGCAGTGTGAAGATTGTAAGCGGGTTTGTAAAAAGCTGGCACTGTTACAATAATTTCTGCATCAACAGGAAGCTAATGTGGATATTATATTGATGGTTGCTTCCTCAGAAGACAATTTTACTGTTATAGTATTAAATTGTTTTTCTGATTTAATTAACCTTGTAACTCTGGGTTACGGTCTTTCTTTTTTAAGATGCATATAATTTTTCCCTAAGCAAGGGACTGTCTAAAAAAAATGAGACAATAATGTTCTGCTTATATGTTGAAAACAATGACCATTTTAAAAATTATGATATTGAAGCAACATTAAAAATATTTCTTTCTACTTTCGTCTTATAATTATTTTGAGGGTATATAAGTTCAGTTGAGATGTGGCCTCCATCCCATTTTTCCTTCTAAAGAGAGAAATTTGATAGAAGCATGACTCATAACTAATTAATGATGTGAATACATGTGTTGTTCATTAATACTATTAAATCAGATCCATCTCCAGAGCAAATAGATCCTTAAAGTTAAGATGGTCTCAGGGAAGCAGTCAGCATTCTTTGTTAGTAATCTCCAATAACTTTTTACAAAGTCAAAGCACCAAATATTTTTCTCTTTGTTTTACCCAAAGAGGTGGCCTTCTTACAATGCAACAGAACTCTTGAGTGCTACACAAATAATGATATAAAACTCACATGTGTCACTAGGGCAAATTCCTTTTATATTATACATCTATGTTACTGGCTTGTCTTGAAAGAAACAATGAAACACAACCTACTTTGGAAAATCTGGGGTTTTTTTTCACTATAACTTCCTTAAATTATGTTATTAAGAAATTCCCTACTGATATCAAAAGCCAGTTTTTAGTAAAAATGAAGATAAAAGACTGAGAGAAAAGGAGTTCAATTGATTGGGCAAGATTTACAGGAGACAACAAGAAATACAGAGAAGAGTCTAAAATTGGGGCTTATTTTATGATTTCTAGTTCTCAAGAAAAGGAAGTAAGGAGATTAATTCTCATTGAATGTGCTGATTTAATGTGGAATCGACAAGGTAGCCAGTGATAACTCTTAAATATAGTGTTTGTAGCCAGGCACCAGTGGCTCACACCTGTAATTCTAGCTACTCAGGAGGCTGAGATCTGAGGATCATGGTTCACAGCCAGCCCCAGAAGGAAAGTCTGTGAGATTCTTATCTCCAATAAACTACCAGAAAACTGGAAGTGGTGCTGTGGTAGAGCACTTGCCTTGAGCTGAAGAGCTGAAGGACAGTACCCAGGCCCAGAGTTCAAGCCCCATGACCAACAAAAATTTTTAAAAATTTTTTTTAAATTAAGAATAGTGTTTGTCCAGTGCTTTCTACCTTACACTCAGCAGCAGACAAAGGGCAGCAGCTCAGAAACATTGGTATTTTTTTCCCTAAGAACTATTTTTTCCTTTCTTTTTTTTTTTGTACTGGGGATCAAACCCAGGACATTGTACTTGGTAGGCAAGTGCTTTGCCACTGATCTACATCCCAACCCTCTAAGAACATTTAAGATAATATTTTTCCTATTTTTCTTCTCCACCATTCAGCTGCATTCCAAACAAACTAATTTTGGCACATACAAATCTATATCTAAGTTTGTATTTTAGAATAACTGTCAGACCAATATAAATTGTGCAAATTAGTCATTTCTAAGAAGAGCTGAGACTTCTTTCAAGAAGAATATATAGTGTGTCTTTTTATAAAAATGGTGTTTCCAGGCAATGAAAAAGCTGATGTCAGACAAATGTCATTGTGTTTGCATTCACAGGATTCTTTCCCTTCTTGTGAAATAAACATTGGTGTATGAACAAAAAGGAAAATATCCTGCAAAGGTTCTCAGCCTGGTACGGTGCACATTTATAACCCAAAGCACTTGGGAGGTAGACATCGAGAGGAATATAGTTCAAGGCCAGCCTGAACAAAAAAGTAATTATGACCTCATCTCAATACATAAGCTGGGCATAATGGAGCTCATCTGTGGTTCCAGCTACATCAAAAAGCATAAATAAGGCCCCAGTCTAAGGCTAGCCCAAAATAAAAATGGGAGACTATGTCCAAAAAGTAACCAAAGCAAAAAAGGCTGGAAGTGTTGCTCAAGTGGTAAAGCACCTGCCTAGCAAGTTTGAAACTCTGAGTTCAAACACTGGTAGTATGTGGATAATGGCAAATTAATATGACATTGTTTTTCTACCGAGGAACATATTATTGTATAAAAAAAGGAGGAAAATTTTCATGTACTTCATATATTAAGTCATATATACAAATTGCTAATGTGGACTAAACAGAATAGGCCAATAATCATTCTTTCCTGGATCATAATTATTGAATTGGTGTATTTGTGAAGTAACTATTTGTAAAGTACTTACTGAACAATCACTATGCAAGTTACTGGAGAGCGCTGGGGATAAAATGAACAATAGAGACTGAGCTCAGTCCAAAACTTTACATAGTACTCAGATCATTATCGGTAAGATGAGTGATTAAAAAAAAGTGCTACAGTTACAAATGTGTGCATCTTATGTAAATGAGGATGATGTGATCCAAGAATTTCAACAATCATACTGCTCTTCATAGTAACCTAAATATCCAACTAAAAATGACCTAAATATCCAACAACAGGAATCTGGCTCCATAGATTATATCATGTAATAGAATATTATGTAGCAATTATGAATCATTTTTAGCCAGGTGCTGGTGGCTTATGCATATAACCCTGGCTACTCAGCAAGCTGGATCTGAAGATTGCAGTTTGTAGACAGTTTGGGCAAGGAAGTCCCCAGAACTCTATTCTCCAATTAACTAGCAAAAATAAGCTGGAAGTAGAACTGTGACTCAAGTGGTAGAGCACTAGCCTTGAGCAAAAAAGCTAAGGGACAGTGCCCAGGCCTTAATTTCAAGTCCCAGGACACCTCACTGAAAGAATTTGAAAAATATTCATGTATAATATATATATATGTATACACACACATTGACAATGTAAAGTACTTGTGAGACACAGTTAAAAATAAAAGATATCTTTAAGCCGGGCGCTGGTGGCTCACGCCTGTAATCCTAGCTACTCAGGAGGCTGAGATCTGAGGATCGTGGTTCAAAGCCAGCCCGGGCAGGAGAGACCGTGAGACTCCTATCCCCAATAAACCACCAGAAAACCGGAAGTGGTGCTGTAGCTCAAGTGGTAGAGCGCTCGCCTTGAGCTGAAGAGTTGAGGGACAGCGCCCAGGCCCAGAGTTCAAGCCCCACGACCGACCAAAAAAAAAAATAAATAAATAAATAAAAAGATCTCAAATAATACATACACTATGATACCACTTCCACAAATGCGTATTTCTGTATACATATAACCATATCTACATATATAATTATGCACATGTACACATGTACATATGATTATATGTAGATAATTATGCACATCATGTGTACAGATATATAAATGTGTTTGCATACCATATGTATATGTAAATAGAATGTATACGTAAATGGACCAAATGGAAACAAGAATTAGTCATTAGTCATTAGTTTTCAGAGTTTTATAGGTTTTCAAAGTTTCTGCATCACAAAAGTTTCTATTGAACTTTTGAAAATTTTTAAATCTACTACCTAGTAATCATCATGGCTGTGCCCAGAACAATGCATAGAACTGGCCTAGCAAAGGCAAGAAATCGGTTCATGTGCTCCCAGAAGATGAGACAGAACCTGGCTGTCTAGAATGTACATAAAATAGGCAAAGAAAAAATGTTTTTGGGGAAAAAAGTACAGATGAGTATAGGAAAGATGAACTACAAAGAGAAGTGAATTCAAGGTTATTTTTAAGAGTTTTTACCTGAGAATGTGTCTCATTTTCTTGCAACTGGGTTTTCAGTGCCTCATATTCTTCATTTAGCGTCTCCATTATTTTTTTAAAAGCATTTCTGCGTGTTGACAATATGGTTCTTTCCTGATGTAATTTCTAGATAGACCCAGAGAGAAGTAATAAACAGCCTATCACAAATTCTAGTAAGTCAATACACGTCATATTTGGTTCAAATAATTTTAATGGTCATAGTCTGATCAAATTCTATCAAGATCATTACTGTTTAAAGACCTATTAGTAAAACTATCCTTCTACGTCATATTAATGTTAACTGTATCAATAACTCAATTCCTGTTACTGTATCTGTCCCTGCCCCATAATTTCTACTTTAAACTAATGAAAATTGCCACAGAGAGAGAATTGACATGCTAGCTTGGGACATGTGCCTTCAAATCTATGAATTACAAAACTCACATCTCTTGACATGCTTGATATTAGGTAATAGCTTAAATCTTGTGATTCAGTTTTTGCTCTAATTTAAAACTTTAATTCACTTAAAATTCCAACTACACATGTAGAGTTTTAATCACTTTGTCTTAGCTTAAATGTCACATAAGGGCTGGAGACATGGCTGAAGTAATAAAAAGGTTGCCTAGCAAACGAGAGTCCCTGAGTTCAAACCCCAGTCCACCACAAATCAAAGAGGAAAAACATTAGTCAACTGAAAATAAGTTCTACAAGCTAAATATAAATTAAAATCCAAAAAGCCCATCTAATTCTATTATAATTTTATAAGACAGCATTACCTTTTTCTTTTCTTCACCTGATGATTTTAAGGCTGGTAAATCATTGTATGTCTCCAGATCGGCTTCTATTTGCTTAATTTTGACTTTCAGAGAATGCTGCTCCTCAGTCATCTTACTTTCCAGGAGCTCCATTTTCTGTAGATCCAGCTGTAAACGTTGACTGTCTGAAAGGAAAATAAAAGTGTATCCTCTTGGGAACCATCTTAACCTGATATATCTCATTTGTATATGAACATTATGGTGATATTAAGTAGTATATAATATTCAAGTTAAATAAATGAGAAGAGTAAAAACAGATTTTTAAGTTTATTATTCACCAAAATCTTTTCTTGTTTTATTTTGTGTTGTTTTGTTTTATGCTGTGACTGGGACTTTTATTCAAGGCCTGGACATTGTCCCTGATCTTTGTTCAAGGCTAGTAATCTACCATTTGAGGCACAGCTCCACTTCTGGCTTTTTGGTGGCTAAATGGAGATAAGGGTCTCATGGACTTCCCTGCCTGGGCTGGCTTTGAGAAATCCTCAGATCTCAGCCTTTTGGGAAGCCAGTATTACAGTCATAAGCCACTGGCATCCAGCTCAACCAAATCTTTTTAAGTTAGTCTAATTAAATTAATATTCCGGGCTGAGAAGGTGGCTCAGTGGTAGAGCGCTTGCCTTGCATGCCTGAGGCCCTGGGTTCGATTCCTCAGCACCACATAAGCAAAAAGAAAAAAGCCGGAAGTGGTGTTATGGCTCAAGTGGTAGAGCGCTAGCCTTGAGCTGAAGAGCTGAGGGACAGTGCCCAGGCCCAGAGTTCAGGCCCCACGACAGGACCTAAAAAAAAAATTTAATATTCCTTGAACATTTCCTTTCTCCCCCTGAAAAGGTTTAAAGCTAAACCACACTGACATATCATCAAATATGCATAACACGACTGAAATGCTGTTGCAAAACATTTTAATCAGGATTTATATGTCTGCTTGGGTTGGAAACAGTTGCAACACAAAACAAAGCACTGGACAAGTCACTAAGGTTATAGTGTTTTGATGTTCAAAAAAGGAAATGTACTTAGTTTATGGATATTTTGCCTGAAATAAACAGCTACGTAAATTTAAGTGCAAGTTTAATTTTCACATGTGCTAGGAGAATACATTTAAGAACCATATAGACTAATTTTTCTAGAGAAAAGGATAAAATGGTTGGTTGGTATAGGGTAAAGTTTATCTTCCTTTAGCAACAGGTCCCTATGAAAAGCTAAATGCTTCTCGAAGGGAAAAGACAGGAAGAGGATACAGTCCAGTTCCTTCTGATATGCTATGAAGTTCCAAAGTTTACCAAGCTATGTGGACAGAACAGCAAAATCTCAGGAGCAACTTTGACCTGGAGAAATGTTTCTGAAATATGCTACCATCAGCACATTTGTATACTCCCTGGAGTTTTCTTTCCAAAAATACAAATAAAAGCTACTCCTGACAGATTCCTTGCCTCTGTCCATGCTGTACACTAGGGCTTCTTTTCTTTTATTCCTTTATAGACATTTTTAACCCAGCTGCCTCCCTCTCCCCCATATTTGTATATCACAGATAACCATTTGTGTAGCGACAGATTATAAAACCAGTACCAAGGATTTCTTTCCTCTACCCTTCTGCCCTCTAAAAGCAATTTTACTTCCTTGAGGTGACACTGCCTCATTAAAAAAATGTGATACCCTAGCAGGGCGCTGGTGGCTCACGCCTGTAATCCTAGCTACTCAGGAGGCTGAGATCTGAGGATCGAGGTTCAAAGCCAGCCCGGGCAGGAGAGACCTTGAGACTCCTATCTCCAATAAACCACCAGAAAACCGGAAGTGGCGCTGTAGCTCAAGTGGTAGAGCACTCGCCTTGAGCTGAAGAGCTGAGGGACAGTGCCCAGGCCCAGAGTTCAAGCCCCACGACCGACAAAAAAAAAAAAAAAAAAAATGTGATACCCTAAAAAAGTCAGGTGAGTCCCTACAATCCCAAAGTAAAAAAAGAAGGCTATCACAAGGGAAAATGTAAAATTCAGTATCTCCAAAGGTACACAGGAACATGTCTATAAACCCCCCATGGTGATTTTCACATAGGAGATATCTCTTGGGGTAAGGGATGGTAAAAGGGAAGAAAAGGAAGAAAAAGTCTAGGTTTGGTTTAAATGAGAAAAAATAATAGATAAAATTAACTGTATGGGTCAAAGAATTCAACTCAAAAAAATAAGAAAAATTCCTGGCAAATCTTGACTATAGTAATAAACTGTATTTTATCTCCATTGACGCTACTTGTCATTCTCTTCAACTGTGTATCTCTGAGAACACATAATGCCTCGTTTTTAAAGGAACTGTAAACACATAGTATAAAAGCAGGGAAGGAATACTAAGTTCTAATCAGTGAATTTGTTTCCTGGAATTGATTTGTGCCTGTAAGAAATGAGTGTTTCTCAGTCGCTGTTACACAAAGATAGCTGATAGGAGGGAAAAGACCTGTTGAATATCAACCTTAGATAAATAAAAAGCATAAGCACTATGGTCAAAACACAAAAGAGAAGTTTACTAGATGGAATAATAAAACACAAAATTCTTTACAGACAAAAATGAAGCCAGGCACCAGTGGCTCATGCCTATAATCCTAGCTACTCGGGAGATTTGAGAATTGCAGTTCAAAGCCAGCCTAGGCAAGAATGTCTGTGAGACCCTTATCTCCAATAAACCATTCAGAAAAAGCCGGAAGTGGCACTGTGGGTCAAATGGAAGAGTGCTAGCCTTGAGCAAAAGCAGCTCAGGGATAGCACCCAGACCCTGAGTTCAAGCCCCAGGACCAGCAAAGTGAGAGAGAGAGAAAGAGAAAGAGAGAAAGAGACAGACAGACAGACAGACAGTCAGAGACAGACAGACAGAGACAGAGAGAATGAACTATTTTAAAACATCCCTAGGCATACATGTCCCAAGAAGTAAAATTAAGATCTTGAAGAATATTTGTGTCACTGAAAAATCACCTAAATGTCTTTGAATGGAAAAACAAATTTGGTGCAATAGAATGTAATTCCGCAGCCTCAAAGAAGAAAGAAATTCTGTCACATGCTACCACATGGAGGAACCTTAACGACGTGGTAAGTGATAAAGACCCTAATCGCAAAAAACACATACACAATTTAGGACTCCACTGATATGACCTATCCAAAGTAGTCAAACTCATAGTAACAGAAGTAGAATTCTGATTGCTGAGATCAGAAGACAGGGAAATAGTGAGTTGTTGTTCCATGGGAATAAGGTTTCAGTTTAAAAGATGAAAAAGTTCTAAAGTTTCTGCTATCTAACAATAGATCAACTATGTTAAAATATGTTAATTTATACAGTTAACCCTAATTCTGTACCTGTTAAAAATTGTTAAAATAGTGAAGTTTGTTGTGTGTTTTATGATGACAGAAAATAGAGTTCCAGTAAAGTTTATGCAAACTGAATTATACTGTACCTCCTTCCTCTTGGTGCTGGCATATAATTCAGACATACAAGTACAACTAAGACAAACAATCTCTAAACAAATCTCAATATAAAATATGCATAAATGCATAGATAACAGCAGCAGTACATCTGTACATCACTCTACATTCAATGGTATCCTAGTATATTCCCTAGCATGCATTTACAGGTCCACAATCTCTTATTTAGGAACTTTTGGACAGTTGTGTTTTCAATTACAGAATCCTTGGATTTTTACATGAAGAATGTACATTTTATTATCATATAGCTTTATTCAACAGAGTTGGAGGCAAGTACCTGGACAACTACAAATACGAATAGCCACACTAGTCAATCATGTTTGGTTTTGTTGCCAAGATCTTTTTGGATTTGGGGAATCTAGATAAGGTATTGTTATTACATTTCATGAATCTTTAGACATTTTAAATTAGCAAATATAATTAAATCTTCATTTCATATAATCTCACTGCCAGGAAGTCTAAGTACACAAATCAAAACACAGCTTAATTTCAAGTTACCAAGCATAAAGAACACCCACAATTAAAATCTATCAGCTTATAAGCCACACAAATTGTTCACATAACTTTATCCTAACATCCTTATGCTGAACTTGGTACGGTACATGTGTCTCTAATCTCCACCTACATCATCCCAATGGCAGCCACTAGACACATACAGGGCCTTTGAGCATTAGCAATGTGTTCTAGCTGGGCTCTGGTGGCTTGTGCCTGTAATCCTAGCTACTCAGGAGGCTGAGACCTGAGGATCACAGTTCGAAGCCAGCTTGGGCAGGAAAGTCTGTACGACTCTTATCTCCAAAAAAAAAAAGCAGGAAGTGGAGCTGCACCCCAAGTAATAGAGCATTAGCCCTGAGCAAAAAAAGTTCACGGACAGCGCCCAAGGTCTCTGAATTTAAGCCCCAGAACTAGCACGAAAAATAAATAATTTTTTTAAAAAAAGGATTGTGTCTTCTCTGAATTAAAATGTCTCACTGATCATTTACAGGTTAAAATGGTAACAGATACCCTGAGTTAAATAAATATATTAAAATTCATCTATTTTTACTTTTTAAAACATGCTGAAAAAACCTTTTCATTATGCATGTATTTGGAATTAAATTTTTCTTGAACAGTGCTGCTCTACTTGCATGCTAGTGAGCGTTGCTGAATTCATTAGAGTTAAATACATCCTCAAGGACATCCACTAATTACCTAAGACTGGTCTGCATATGTGGCCTTTGGTGTGCTTTTTTTCCCAGGTACTGAGGCAGGGGGAAAGGGCTGCACATGCTGGCTAAGCAGGCCCTCTACCACGTGAGACATTCCTTTTTTGTCTTAGCTATTTTTTGGATAGGGTCTCACACCTGTAGACCAGAGCTGGCCTTAGACCCTGAACCTTCCACCCATACTTATGTAACTAGGATTACAAGTGACCACCACCATGCCTAGGTTTGTGTGTTGAGGTGGGGGTCTCATTAACTTTTTGCTCAGGCTGGCCTGGAATTGTGATTTTCCTGGGAACAGCTAGGGTTACAGGTGTGCACTGTCATGCTCAGCCTTCCTTATGCTTACTTCCATGACAGCATTCTTTCATTCTATTACCAGTTTGTCAACCACCAGGCTCAAAGTTCCTTGAGAAAACTGATCTGCTTTTTTTAAACCTCTGTATAAATAAAGATTCTCTCCCTGAGAGAACCAGGGCTCCTCTTCCCAACCTGGCCTACAAATACTCTAGACTCTCAACACAAATGGTTTCATTCTCCCTACATCCACATTAAAAGATTTAAACAAACACCTACACAGTGCCAGGAGGCCAGGATGACCCAAACTTCCCTCCTGCGAATACTTGACAGTAGACTAGTGATCACTCTTTCAGAGACTATTTAGTAAAAAGGTTTTCACAACTATGAATCCTACCCCCGCCCTCTGTATGTGTATATGCACATAGATAGATAGATAGATAGATAGATAGATAGATAGATAGATAGATAGATAGATAGATAGATAGATAGATGGATGGATAGATAGATGGATAGATAGATGGATAGATAGATGGATAGATAGATAGACTAAGTGAAGGCCTTATCTTTGAAGTATAATCACTTCTGTAGGAGGATGGAATCCTAACTTCCTAAAATCCATGATAGCTAGCCTAATCAGCATTTACACCCTGCTGACCCCCTCACTCTCCTTTTAAAATTCCCAGTCGCTTCTACAAATTGAAGCTGAATTCGGTTCACATGGACCCCCTTCCCTTCAGCACTACTAAATTACTGGTTAAAATTTTTCAGTAAGCTTTAGCTCCCAGCTTTATCTCTGACAATACCTGAGGTACTATGAGTTCAGACATGGAGCCAGCCCAGCTGATACTCAGTTATGATGAGCAACGTCCTCACAAATCCATAGGGAGTTGAAAACATCCTCAGTGGGAAATGTACTTAATACACTTGACCTACCTTACTTACCATACCTCAAGGTTAAGATTAAGCAATATAGTATGCTGTTATGTATTGACTGCTTACCCTCATGATTGCAATGCTGCCTAGGTTCATGGCTTCTACTTGGCATTGTGAGAATCACACACTACATATTATTAGTTCAAAATTCAAAACAGAATTCCCCTATTGCTCCAAGTCATTGTAAAATCAAATAAGTCAAAGCCATTATAAGTTAAGAGAGATCTGCACTCAATAAATGTTTCTCAATGGATGAAAATATGCCAAAGAAACTAATAAGCTAATGGGACATGAGGGAATCAGAAGTTAGATCCTACCTTTTAAAAATAATAATGATATAATTTTGAAGTTCCAATTTTAAAAAATGAAAGAATATGAAAATCTAGGCCAGTTTCCTCACCTGAGGTCAGACTTCTAGCTGTATTTTGTGATTTCTGCATTTCAGTAGATTTAAAATTGAGGTCTTCCTGCATCATCTTTAGCTCCTGGTTGGTAATCGAGGATAACTGTTTCATATGATTTATATTCTATATTTGAAGAGAAATCAAAATAAAAAAAGAAGAAAACAACTGATTTATGAGGCAGGTGCTGGTGGTGGCCTATACCTGTAATCCTAGGAAGTGTCACTGTGGCTCAAGAGGTAGAGTGCTCGCCTTGAGCTGAAGAGCTGAGGGACAGCACCCAGGCCCAGAGTTCAAGCCTCATGACCGAAAAAAAAAAAAAAAAATCCACCACCTGTAATCCTAGATACTCAAGAGGCTGAGATCTAAGATCTAAGGCAGGAAAATCCATAAGACTATCTCCAATTAAAAATTCCCAGAAGTAGAGTTGTGGCTCAAGTAATAGAACACTAGCCTTGGGCAGAAAGCTAAAGGAGAGTACTTAGGCCCAGTTCTGGTACATATACAAAAAAAGATCATGTATTTCTCTCCATTAATTAGTACTACACACAGTAGATGATCAGAATATTTTGTGGTAGATATTTGAAGATAATCATAGGCACATCTAGAAAAAAAAAGAATCTTTTTATTTAAGATACAAATTCAATGTATAAGTATATTAACATTTTCTAACAGAATGTCTAGGTTGTGCAATTTCCTGAGTAAACCTTCTACAAATTAGATATATTAGCAGTGGAAGATAATCTTAATTATTCCAATAAGATCCTCACTGCTGAATGTTTATACTACACATGACATCCTCCCTCTATGTCCTAATTAGCCAATATTAAAATCAAGAATTCAAAGACAGAGGCTGGGGAGGTGGCTCAGTGGTAGAGTGCTTGCCTTGCATGCATGAGGCCCTGGGTTCGATTCCCCAGCACCACATAAGAAAAAAGAAAAAAGCCGGAAGTGGTGCTGTGGCTCAAGTGGTAGAGCGCTAGCCTTGAGCTGAAGAGCTGAGGGACAGCGCCCAAGCCCAGAGTTCAGGCCCCATGACCGGACCCAAAAAAAAAAAAAAAGAATTCAAAGACATAAAGTGGCAAATAAGGCAATTTAGAGAAAAAGAGTTCAATTTACCATAGCTAAGATACGGAACCAACCCAGATGCCCCTCAGTAGATGAATGGATCAAGAAAATGTGGTATATATACACAATGGAATTCTATGCCTCCATCAGAAAGAATGACATTGCCCCATTTGTTAGGAAATGGAAAGACTTGGAAAAAATTCTATTAAGTGAAGTAAGCCAGGCCCAAAGAAACATAGATCCCATGGTTTCCCTTATTTGCAATATCTAGTATATGTATGAGTCAAGCAGAAAAGGTCAGATAATGTGATGTTAGGAAAATGAACCCTTAGATATGTATTTTAATGTTTTTTTCTTTCATGCATTTGTTTCTAACGCATTTATAAGATTATTTCTTTGTTGCTTTGTATGTCCCTCCCCCACAGTATAATCCCTGTTTTCACTATATTTGATGTCAGTATAACTTGAGGAGATGGGGAAAAACAAGTCGTTTAAGGATACAGGTGGACCTGTTGCAACAATGAGAAGTACAAGTTGTCATGTCGAAAATGAGCTTTACAACGTTGGTGCGGGGGGAGGGGGGGAGGATTAAGTGGGGGAGTAGGGGGGGAAGCTGGGAAGGGATGTGAAGGGTAAACAAAGGAGGAGGCTGCAATGCTTGATAAGAAATGTATGCATTATCCTGCCATGTAATTGTAACCCCTCTGTACAGTATGTTCACAAAAAAAAATAAATAAAATAAAAAAAGAGAAAAAGAGTTCAAGTGAATTGTTCATGTTTGTGGTATACAATCAGCCACAGTAAAATCAGTGAGGCCAACAGGCCTGGTGACCAGTACTCACCCATGAGGCCAGCAAGTCAGTGCTGGGTACTCACCTTGCTGCAGTGCTCCAAAAGTGCCACAATGTGGGCTTCTATCTGAGCCTTCCTCTCTACTTCCTGATTCTTCGTTTCCTCAAAACTCTCTATAAAAGCTGCCAATTGAAAAACAGTCCACTGTTGATATCAACTCTGACTCTCAGGTCTTAGGAATATTTTTAAATTTTGAAAATAAGAAAGCCAGGCATCGGTGGCTCACGCCTGTATTCCTAGCTACTCAGGAAGCTAAGATCTGAGGATCTTGGTTCAAAGCCAGCAGGGCAGGAAAAGTCTGTAAGACTCTTAAATCCAATAAACTACTCAAAAAAAAAGCCAGAAGTGGCGCTGTGGCTCAAGTGGTAGAGTGCTCACCTTGGGCAAAAGACGTTCAGGAAAGTGCCTTGGCCCAGAGTTCCAGCCCCAGGACTGACCCCCCCCCCAAAAAAAAGAAAACAAATACAAATTTACTCATTAACAATATACTTTCAGGACCATGACATGAGTGAATTAGAGAGTTATTCTATCTGCCCAAAGGAAACAACTAATAAAACAGACCAGAAAAGATATGTTCTTATACAAAAATTTCTTTGATACATCTATAATGGTTAACACATCAATGGCCACTAGTTTTTTTCTGAAATTAATATTCCTAAATACCTATTTTCATCAGAAATTATAAAACTCAAATGCTGGCTTAATCTCAGAATAAATTTAATAGTTTATTATGATTATAAATAATTTTTTTTAATTATTCTTTTGTCTAACACAGAACTGGTACATAGTTTTACTCTTATTTACATTCTTCAATTATTACTTCCAAAAAATAAAAACATAATAAACATTTTACTTGTTGTATGAGATAAACATGTTTGTTTTTGTCAGTCGTGGAGCTTGAACTCTGGGCCTGGGCACTGTCCCTCAGCTCTTCAGCTCAAGGCTAGCACTCTACCACTTGAGCCACAGCGCCACTTCTGGCTTTTTTTCTTTTTGCTTATGTGGTGCTGAGGAATTGAACCCAAGGCCTCATTCATGCAAGGCAAGCGCTCTACCACTGAGCCACCTTCCCAGCCCATGTGTGCTAATTTTTAAAAACATAAATGAATAACATATTTAGGTAAGGATCTATTTATAATGAAAAAAAAATAAATGAAAAAAAAATCTAACAAAGGAGACTGAGAATGAGAAGGTGGCTCAGTGGTAGAGTGCTTGCCTCGCATGCATGAAGCCCTGGGTTCGATTCTTCAGCACCACATAAGCAGAAAAAGCCAGAAGTGGTGCTGTGGCTCAAGTGGTAGAGTGCTAGTCTTGAGCTGAAGAGCTGAGGGACAGCGCCCAGGCCCAGAGTTCAGGCCCCACAACCTATAAAAAAAAAAATCTAGCAAAGGCCACTAAAGTTACAGATGATGATGGTCTCAAGTAGCAAGAACAAGATGTTAAGGCCAATGAACAGTAAGGCAATAAGGTAAGTACTATCAAAAGCTAAAAAACAATTTTAAGACACTAAAGGTGAATACCATGGAGTAATTAATAAAAATTCAACAGTTAGTCAATTAGTAGACTGGGCAAGGTATGGGTGTACATGTTTATAATTCCAACACTTGGGCAGCAGAAGTTGAAGGATCCCAAGTTGAAGGCCAATCAGGCCACTAACTAAAGCTACATAGACAGAGTGTTTAAAAGATAAAAAAGAAAGGGTTGGCTCAGCCGTAGAGTGCTTGCCTTGCATGCATGAGGCCCTGGGTTCGATTCCTCAGCACCACATAAGCAGAAAAAGCCAGAAGTGGCACTGTGGCTCAAGTGATAGAGCACTAGCCTTGAGCTGAAGAGCTGAGGGACAGCACCCAAACTCAGAGTTCAGGCCCCATGACAGGTCCCCCCCCAAAAAAAAGAAAAAGAAAAAGGAAGAAAGGTCTGAGGATCCCTTCTATGTAAACTATGAATGTAAGTACAAGTTTTAAAAACTATCTGCAATAAACAAACACAAGCATACAGACATCTTTAACATTCTCTAAGCAATCCTAAATTATGACATTTAATTATTTTTCAAAATATTTTGAAAGTCCATACTTTTGTGTTTAAGCCATTGTATCATCACAAAACAAAATCCTTGATTTGGTATAAATGAATAGCAATGTGAAAATGTATTTTTATAAGATTATTATCACTTACCATCCATATTTTCCTCTCTTTTTTTAAGCTCCTTGTATTTCTGATTCATTTCACCTACAAGAAATACAAAACATAACATCAAGTTTTAAATTCCAATTCTAATAATATTCTAACTTAGTAATATCCCTTGGGCTCTCCTTATGCCATTAGTTGCTGAGTATTTTTTATTTTCAATTAGATGAGATTCTTTTACATTACCTTACAGAATCCTGTAGAGCAGCAATACATTTGTACTTTACTATTTGGAAAACTAGTCTCACTGCAAAGGGCTTATTGGCTTCCCATTTCCAACCTGGAGCCATTCAAACTACACATAGACCCTACCAGTGACAGGAAACCTAAATTTCCAAGAATGTAAGTCCATTCCAATTCTGAATAGTTCACAAGAAGCAAACTAGCAGGGTTACATCCCTCTAAGCTTGTGGTCTAGGGATTGAACAAATTATTAAAATAAAAGCATATGAAAACTAAAACCTGCTATGGAAAGGTATAATGACAAGGTATAATGATCAAGTTCAGGGACTGGGAAATTCTTCTTATGAAAGAAATGCTTACTCTACATTATAAAGTGTAACACAAAAAAACAAAACACTGTAAAACCCATAAATAGTTTGAACTTAAATTAGAAAAATTACTGAAAGATTTTAACCAAGAGAATAAAGTGATTAATTTATATTTTTAAAAATATTTAAGTCAGTAGGCTGTTAACTGTGTCTTAATATCCTATAGCAGAGTATTAACCTCTGAACCAGTCATGCCTTAGTTCCTAAAAAAACAGCATTTTTTTTTTTTTGGCTGAGAAACTCCACTTTCTAGTGCTAAAGAAATTGGGGGTTATGAGGAGAGTCTACATTCTAGCCTTTATAAGAACTGAATTAGCATTTTGTTTTTCTTCCTCCAACCTATGGAAATTCCTTGTGCATTGTTTTTAGTCATACTTCTATTTTTCAAAACAATGCAATGAGGCTTTTCCCTACTATTCCTTAATTATCAAATCCTTAACTATCAAATCCAAAGAACAGTTTTCCTTGATTTTCAAACTCTTTTATCTAATTAGTTACTATATATATATATATATATATATATATATATATAATATATATATATATACATATATATATATTCATTTACAATCTCAGGATATCCTCAAATTTGGTGTATCCCTAATTTAGTTCAAAGATAATATCCCTCTCTTTATTCCCTATCATGCTTCAACAATGTCTTTACTAACCACTTATCTAAGTAAAAAAAAAAGCCTGGGTGATTCCTCCCTCCTGCTCTCCTCAAATCCACCTTCTTAGTTGCCAACATAAGTGGCAGAAATGTTTCTCTTTTTTTATGTTGGCCATCTGAATAAGAGAGGACTGAGCTCCCACATATCTCAGCAGATTGCCAAGCTTAAAAAAAAATTCCTCTGATACCACTGTTAAGGTAATTGGCTAGACCACCTGTAAACTGTCTATATTGGGATTTCTCAGAAAGGGTCTGTATCTTAGCTGTCTATCAGATGTGAGAAGTCCTAAAGTAGAGTAAAATTAAAGTAGAGTCAAAAACCAGTGGCTCACTCCTATAATCCTAGCTACTGAGGAGGCTAAAGATCCAGAACAGCAATGATTTAAAGACATCGCAAGCAGAACAGTCTATTAAACTCCTGTCTAAAAGAATCAGCAGAAAGGTTGGCTGGCGATGTGGTGCAAGTGGTGAACAGCTAAGCCTAACAAACATGAAGCCCTGAGTGATAACACAGAGACTGAAGTGGTCAGCTTCAGGTTCAAACTCTGGTACCAAACAAAACAAACAGAAAACAGTCTGGGCACCAATGGCAGCTCATGACTGTAATCCTAGCTACTAAGGAGGCAGGCCCTGAGTTCAAGCTGCAACACAGGGAGAGAGAGGAGTGAGGAGAGAGAGAGACAGAGAGCGAGAGAAGCTATAATTGGTAGAGGGTTAGTGGTAAAAAACATATACACTCAGGCCCTGATTTCAAGCTCCAGACCAGATGTGGCTCAAAGTGGTAGAATACTACTAGCCTTGAGCTAAAAAGCTCAGTGACAGTGCTCAGGGCCTGAGTTCAAGACCTATGACTGACAGGAAAAAAAGGTCGGGGGAAGCACTTGGGTGATTACAGAAAAGACACCACTATGTTTTGATTCTCTCTGCCATAGACAGCCAGTGGAGAAGGAAGATAAGATCTTTTTGGCCCTCACAAGGGATTGATCATCATTTGAACACCTGGTATTAAGTGCTAGGCTCTTCACTCAGTGTTTATAGTCTAGAGATATCTAAATTTCAGACTTCATAAGGTAGTTCTGACTGGAAAAATACCATTTTTTACAACAGGTGTTTACCTCAATCTTCTTACCTAATCAAACATACGGCATCCAATAGTAACTTCCTAGGCTCAAGGCCCCCAGCTCAGAAAATCTACTGTCAGTTCTGGAGTTGAAAGGGCAACTTTCTGTTGCAGGGAGATGGAGAATAACAACAAAAAAGCAGAGGAGTTTTGCACACTTGGATTCTATTCTGAGGCCAGCTAAGTCTCTCTTCTACTCCTTCTATATGGTAGGACTTCATTTTCCTATTAGATTCTTATCGTTCTACTTAGAATGAGCTTTAGCCCTTCTTTATCCTTTTTAAAGTATTATCCTAAGAAACAGGATTCCAAGAAGACTATCAATTCCCATAGTTTATATAACCATTTGTATCAATGCAACCTAGGATTTCAGCTGTTTCCAGAGTGACTGCGTATTAACTTGTACAGAGCTTTTAAACCTCTCTAGCGTTTTCACAGTGAACCAGAGATAATTGTTCCTGGCTCCTAATACAATTTTAGTGTAGAAACTTATGAAAATCCTCTGTTCTTATATTTAGTTGCTCCTTTCCAACTACATTTTCCATCATCAGAGCAATGAGCAATAGATTGGTATTCCAAGTACTTTTAAATTGCTGTTAAATGAACACATACAAAAATTTAGACTAACTTTTGGCTTTAGGCATCACTCAACTCGTCACATAGGCTCTGAAAAGTATTTTAAATTTTGGCAAAAAAATACTTGTTCACAGCTATAAGATCAGATAATTCCCCACTAAACAAAAATTTTTAAGTGGAAATGTGTGGGTTTTTTCTGCTGTATCATATGTATATGGAGAATCTACAGAATAGCAATGGAGAGATGCCATTTGGAATCATAGAAAATATGACATAAAACTGAAAATAAGTACATTATTTGTACTTTGCCCAACATATGCTTGGGAAAATATCCAGAAAAATTATAAAAGTTTCAGTTTTAGATAGCATTAATTGTAACTTTTAAAACTGATTGTTACTGTTTTCACTCTCCTCTCTTCCCACCCCAACGCACTCCATCACTTAAGCCTCATAGTAAGCCTAAAAAAAATAGGCACTATTATTTGTTCTTTAAAAGATGAGAAGACTTAGGATAAATATAAGGCTAAATAGACATCTAAGATCAAAGGGTAAAGTAGTAAAGCCTAGATCTGAGTCAAGGAATTCTGCTCTCAGAACAATGTTGTGCTCTTAAACTAAACAATTTTGCCTTAAAATTTTTAATTTTACCTGACATAACAAACAAAAAGTTTCCCAACACAGACCTTCAAAATCTAATAAAGAAATGTACTTATAGGCAGAAAAGAGAAGTATATACTACATTTTTACTCTTGAAAGGTACGTATGAAGTAAATTATAATGAATTCTTTCAGAACTTAGGATAGTGATTCAATGTTCCTATAACACTTTAAATATACTTCTATTGTGATATATATTTGTTACTATAATATTTATTGTCTGTGATACATTAATAATCAGATGATATTTACTGTATTGTCTAATACACTTTGGGAAAAATATTGTACTCTACAAATGAATAACTTTTAGCAAGTACTTAGGGCCACAAATCTTCTAAGAGAAGTGACTGTGAGTGTATTTTGCTAAGTGTACATACATGTCAGACCTATATGAGTATACAGATTTCCAGAAAATTAGCCCCACCCCGTGGCTCACTGGAAAACTACACATTCAAGATTCGGAACTGTCAAGAGATGTCAACTGAGAGAGATCAATTGTCAAGAGATGTCAAACTAAGACATTTAGATTGCCTGCATTGATGAGTGAACACTTCCATTCAATGCTATGGATTCTATAAAATGGTTCAACCTTTCTGGAGAAGAAATTTACAAGATCAATAAAGGTTACAAATTCAAATACTACTCTATACAGAATTTTACATGTAAAAATTTGTTCTGCAGAAGCAGTTAACAAATTAGTAAGCATACAAGTGTATTTACTGCAGCTTTATTCTTGATAATGAAAAATGAGAAACAGCCCAAATGTCAATATGTGTATGGCAAACTCTAATTATATAGCCACCACCATAATGGCAGCCAATGGCTATCACAAATGATTAATAAGTACCAGGTACTTTACAACCTTGAGGTTGACCACTATGCTGTATCACCTTTTAGAATGAAATATAGCTTCATATGAAAGAATATACATTGTGGATAAATACAAAGACTCAAGACTGCTAAAAATGCAGTATAAACTATTTTTAAAGAGCACATTTTGTTTTAAAAGAAGGAACAGCAGGGGCTGGGAAGGTGGCTCAGTGATAGAGTGCTTGCCTCGCATGCATGAGGCCCTAGGTTCAATTCCTCAGCACCACATAAACAGAAAAAGCCAGAAGTAGTGATGTGGCTCAAGTGGTAGCACGCTAGCCTTGAGCTGAAGAGCTGAGGGACAGTGCCCAGAGTTCAGGCTCCATGACCAACGAAAAAAAAGAAAGAAAGAAATTTCCTTAGCTGTATTGTTTATACCATGAGGAGGTCAGGGATTCTTACATTGTCAACTAACCCATAAGATTCTTATAAATTTAGAGAGTACTAACTCGTTTTCAGTTAAACTGTGATTACTGAACCTTATGAATCTGACATTTCCCTGCTTTACCTAGGAGCTTGTAAGGAAACCTTTTCCCACATCCATGGTTACTCTGCAGTTCTTAAGCCCCCAAAACAGAATTTCCACTTGTATAGACCCCAAGTTCCCTTCAGGGGTTCTGTTCCCTGTGTCAGTTCTTCAAATCTACAGTTAGAGGACAATCAGGATAGTCAGCATTCATTTGTGACTTGATCCTGTCTTCTTCCAACTCTACCAATTAATTTTAATTAATTGTTAACCACACTGGGGAACTATAGCTTATGACTCTTATTTTATTTTTTATGCATTCAGTTTCTTACTATTAAATTGTTTTAATTTTAGTTTGTTTTTTGGTGCTAGTCCTGGAGCTTGAATTCAGGGTCTGGGAACTGTCCCCGAGCTTTTTTTGTTTGTTTTTTTTATTGTGAAAATACTGTACAGAGGAGTTACAATTACATGGGCAAGATAAGGAGTACCTTTCTTATCAAGCACTGTAGCCTCCTCCTTTGTTTCCCCTTCCCATCCTTTCCCATCCTCCCCCATCCCCCCACCCCACCTCCCCACCCCACCCCACCCCGCAGGAAAGTTGTAAAGTTCATTTTCCACATAACGACTTGTACATCTCATTGTTGCAATGGGTCCACTTGTATCCCTATTTAAACGATTGCTCTGTGACTTGAGCCATACCCCTTTTCTCCTGACCTTTGGTAGTTAATTAAGAATTTCAGAGACTTTCCTGCCTGGGCTGGCTTTGAACTGTATCCTCAATTCTCAGCCTCCTGAGTAGCTAAGATTACAGGTGAGAGCCACCAGTGCCTGGCTGGTTTTTTGTTTTTTTTGTTTGTTCTTTTGGTCGGTTGTGGGGCTTGAACTCTGGGCTTAGGCACCCTGTGCTCTTCAGCTGAAGGCGAGCGCTCTACCGCGTGAGCCACAGCGCCACTTCTGGTTTTCTTTTTTTTTTTTTAATTAATTAATTTTATTTTTTTTGGGTCCGGTCGCGGGGCCTGAACTCTGGGCCTGGGCACTGTCCCTCAGCTCTTCAGCTCAAGGCTAGCGCTCTACCACTTGAGACACAGCACCACTTCCGGCTTTTTTTCTTTTTGCTTATGTGGTGCTGAGGAATCGAACCCAGGGCCTCAGGCATGCAAGGCAAACGCTCTACCACTGAGCCACCTTCCCAGCCCCCACTTCTGGTTTTCTAGTGGTTTTTATTGGAGATAAGAGTCTCACAGAGTTTCCTGCCCGGGCTGGCTTTGAACCGTGATTCTCAGTTCTCAGCCTCCTGAATAGCTAGGATTACAGGCGTAAGCCACAAGCACCTGGCTTGTTTTTAAATTAGTTTATATTAGTTATACAGAAGAGGATTTCATTGTTACATCTGCAGACATATTTACAATATATTTTAATCTCACCTTCCTTCCTTAATTATAATAATTTAGCTACTAAAGAAAAAAGAAAAGAAAAAAATAATAATTTAGCTACTTCAGTAGCTAAAGTTAGTATTAGCATAAAGAAGTAAGTAATAAATCTCCAGTGTTTAAATGGATATTGAGATTCCAGTTAATATCTGTATTGTTATATATCTGTTAGTGCCCATTATAAAAATGTAAATATAAATCAAAATTGTTACCTTGGTGCTCCTCTAAATCCAGATCGAGTTGCCTAATTTCTTCATTAAGATGATTTATTTTCTCTTTTATATCTGTTAACCTGTTAAAATGTTACATAATGAATTTGTGAAGAAGTCAGTAAGTAAAAACACTCAATTAGGATTTGACAACTTTTTTAAGTTTCAAAAATCGTATCTAAAAAGAAAATGCCCTATTTTGAAAACCACATTATACATTTAAGAGAAAAAGATTTCCTAGTCCTCTTTTTTGGAGCAAGTATTCTCAGAGAACATTTTGTTGCCTAGTCAGGCAAACGCTTCTTCAACCTTTCAAGCTTGACTTGTATACTAAGGAAATTTAAAAACAGAGAGAGAGAGAGAGAGAGAGAGAGAGAGAGAGAGAGAGAGAGAGAGAGAAAGAGAGAAACACAGAGAGAGAGAGAATAAATTATAGCAGGGGTCCAATCGTGGGTCCTGAACTCTGGGCCTGGGCACTGCCCCTCAGCTCTTCAGCTCAAGGCTAGTGCTCTACCACTTGAGCCACAGCGCCACTTCCAGCTTTTTTCTTTTTGCTTATGTGGTGCTGAGGAATTGAACCCAAGGCCTCATTCATGCAAGGCAAGTGCTCTACCACTGAGCCACCTTCCCAGCCCCCAAAGAACTAATCTTATAAATGTGTTAGAAACAATCGCATGAAAGAAAAAAAAAACATTTGACTACATATCGTAGGGTTCATTTCCCTAACATCACATTATCTGACCTTTTCTGCTTGCTTCAGACATATACTAGATATTGCAAATAAGGGAAACCATGGGATCTGTGTTTCTTTGGGCCTGGCTTACTTCACTTATATAATTCTTTCCAAGCCTTTCCATTTCCTAACAAATGGGGCAATGTCATTCTTTCTGATGGAGTCATAGAATTCCATTGTGTATATATACCACATTTTCTTGATCCATTCATCTACTGAGGGGCATCTGGGTTGGTTCCATATCTTAGCTATAGTAAATAATGCTGCAATAAACATAGTCGTGCTGGTAGCTTTAGTGTGGTCTTGTTTGTAAACGTTTGGGTAAATGCCCAAAAGTGGGATTGCTGGGTCATAGGGGAGCTCTATGTGGAGTCTTTTGAGGAACCTCCATACTACTTTCTAAATTCTAAGAAATTAGAAGATGAAAAAAAAAAATCTACCATTAGAAGAATCTTATACAAATTAAAATTTTCCCCTGCGTTTGTCTTGTACAATCAGTTGATCTAGATGGAACTTCAACTTAGGAAGAAAAAACCCCCACAAAGTTACCACATGAGCTAGCAAGTCCATCCATACACAAAATAAGTAAAACTATACATTGGATGGGCACTGGTGGCTCACATCTAATTCTAGCTACGTAGGAGGCTGAGATCTGAGGATTACAGTTCAAAGACAGCCTGGGTAGGAAAGTCTGTGAGACTCTTAACTCCAGTTAACTACTAAAAGACAGAAGCAGAGCTGTAGCTCAAGTTGTAGAATGTTAGTCTTGCACATAAAAGCTCAGAAACAGGGCTCAAGGCCTGAGTTCAAGCCCCAGGACCGGCACACACACACACACACACACACACACACACACACACACACACACACACACACACACACACACACACACACACACACACACAAAAACAACACAGGGATATTCACATCAATATGATCATAGTAGCCAAGAAAATAGAAGTAATCCAAATGTTCATGAACTGAAGAATGGATAAAATAAGGCATATGTATACAGTGGATACTACTTAGAAATGAAAAGAAATTAAATACTGATATAATGCTACAACACAGATGAATCTTGAAAATATTATACTAAATGAAACCATCCAGCTACATAGGACTATACACTGTATGATTCCACTAAGAAATGTCCAGCATAGGGCAAATCTACAGAGACATGAAGTACATTACTTGTTGTCCAAGAGCTAAGAGAACAGACAGGAAAGGTTAAAATGTGGGATTATACTGGGGTGAAAAAAAACTGTTTTAAAATAGGGGTTATGGTTGTACAACTAAACGAAAGAGCTGTGAATTGCATACTTTTAATATGTGAATTCTATGATATAAATGATATACTAATAAAGCAACAAAATACTAATAAAAGGTTATGTTAGGTATAGTAGCTCTAGCCTGTAATTCTTCCTGAATGGTGAAGATCATGGGATTACAGCTAAAAGCCAGCTTGGGCAAAAAAGTTTGAAAGACTCCATATCACTCAATGGCTGGGCTTGGTGATATGCATTGATGCCTGCTTGTTATCCCAGATACAGGCAAAGTAAAATGGCATGCATTTGTTATCCTAGGCATCACAGAGAAGCACAAGAAGGAAGACTGATGAACCCCAAGATAAGGACTCAAATGGTTTTTCTTTCTTGCTATTGTTTCTAACATATTTATAAGATAATTTCTTTGTTGCTTTGTATGTCCTTCCCCCATGGTATAACCCCTGTTTTCACTGTATTTGTGGAGGGGAAGGGAAAAAACAAATTGTTTTAATAGGGATATAGGTGGACCCATTGCAACAATGAGATGTACAAGGCATTATGTGGAAAAACGACCTTTACAGCTTTGCGGGGGGGTGGGGGAAGGCGGATATGGGGAGCAGGGATGGTAAGGGGAAACAAAGGAGGGGGCAACAATGCTTGATAAGAAATGTGCTCATTACCTTGCTCATGTAATTGTAATCCCTCTGCACGGTATTTTCACCATCAAAAACTTATTAATTTTTAAAAATCAATAAAAAAAGAAAATTACATGCATATGTATAGTTTATTTGTATATTTTCTATGCATTTTGTATGATAATTAAATAGTTTCTTTTAAAATTGAAAAAAAAAAAGAAGGAAGACTATAGTACTGGGGCAAGATCCTACTTCAAAAATAATCAGTACTACTGTGAATAAAGCAACTTGTTTATCAAGAAAACAATCAACACTAAGAAGATGCTGGAGACATGGCTCAAGTGGTAGTGCACCTGCCTTGCAAGCAGGAGGCCCTGAATTCCATCTCCACTAACACCAAAAAAAAGTAATTATATTACATAATGGCTCTTATATGCTCAAATGTTTAAAGCAATAAATTGGAAAGCTGCATCATTATTATCAATTTGAACTACAGAAAAGAATCCTATAAAAAGATGAACTCTCGGGGCTGGGAAGATGGCTCAGTGGTAGAGCGCTTGCCTTACATGCCTGAGGCCCTGGGTTCGATTCCTCAGCACCACATAAGCAAAAAAAAAAAAAGCTGGAAGTGGCGCTGTGGCTCAAGTGGTAGAGCGCTAGCCTTGAGCTGAAGAGCTGAGGGACAGCGCCCAGGCCCAGAGTTCAGGCCCCACGAAGGGACCCCAAAAAAAAAAAAAAAAAAAAAGAAAAGATGAACTCTTTTACCTTATTAGTGTCAGATGAGGACAAATAAACAGAAAATATTCAAGTATAATGGTACTTACTGTCTCTCCATGCTGGCTATTTCCTGGTTATCTTCTTTAACCTATAAAAACATAGAAAGAAAAGTCTTTAAACAGTAACTCACGCTGAGCACAGGTGGCTCAGACCTGTAATCCTATCTATTCAGGAGGCTGAGATCTAAAGACTCCAGTTGGAAGCCAGCCCAGGCAAACAAATCCTAGGGACTCTCATCTCCAATAAACCAGCAGAAATCTAAAAGTAGAGGTATGGCTCAAGTAGTAGAGCACCAGGTGTGAGCAACAGTGTGAAGCCTGGAGTTCAAGTCCTACTACAGGCACATAACAAAAAGGATAATTCACTATTATCTAAAGGAGAATTTCCTTGTAGAGTTATGTTAAAATGTCAAATCTAAACATCTCCTTCTTAAAATCAACCTTTAACATTATAGGGAAAATCATTAAGAAACTACTCAGATTACTTTATTCTTTCTCAAAGGAAGAATAATAGATACACTCACATCTATCCTCAAGGGGCTATCATTCAGACAAGGATCTTAGTTGATAGAAGGATCTAAGGTATCTGAGACCCACCCATTGTAAGGCTACCAGATTTAGCAAGCCCAGTTAAAACTGAATTTCAGATAAGTAATGATTAACTTTTAGGGCTTCTATATACCATATATCATTTCTTGACCTCATATATATAATTTCTCTTCAAGAAATTTTAGAAGATCTAAACTTTAACATCACTCAGGAATAATTCTAACGCTTCAATAGCTCCTAAATGGATGCATAAGGCTCTAAGAAATCCAGTGGGACTGGAAACCACTTGGAACCAGTTCATGGTCTTGCCCTAAGATCACAAAAGAGTTCCTGATTGCAGCTATATTCAAATATATATTCTTCTCCTAAGGGTCTATAAATAGATAACATACTAATTATAAGCTAAACTTCAGATAGTAACGCTTTGGAAATACATGACGTGATTTTGTGGCACATATTTTTGTAGTACATTGTAATTCCATTCCCTTCATGGAGGTACTAATACTAATAACTGCACAAAGTAATTTGATCCCAACCAAATAACAGAATCTATTTTCTATAAGATTATTCTTTTTTGGGGGGGGGTCATGGGGCTTGGACTCTGAGCCTGGGTGCTGTCCCTGAGCTCTTCAGCTCAAGGCTAGCACTCTAACGCTTGAGCCACAGGGCCACTTCTGGTTTTCTGGTGGTTTACTGGACATAAGAGTTTCACAGACTTTCCTGCTGGGGCAGGGGCTGACTTTGAACTGTGATCATCAGATCTCAGCCTCTTGAGTATCTAGGATTACAGGCGTGAGCCACTGGTACCCAGCTAAGAATCTCAAGTTTTTCAACTAAAGATCCAAAACATGAAAGAATAGCTCAACTAACCATAATACAAAATGAAGATTTAATGTAAAGAACACTTTATATGGGAAAATGACTTTTCTGTCGTTTTTTTGTTAAGTACTTCATATTTAGGTATTGCTAATTATTTGCTGCTTTTTAATCAACTTACTGGCTTTCTTGTCAATTCATACCACTTCAATAAAACAACTCAACATGCTCAACAAAGCCTGGCATATGAAAATTGGTATTTTTTCTTCTACCTGCTTAAGTAATCTCTCCCTCTCTTCCATTGGAGATCCCATGCTTTTGTCTTCTGCAACCATTTGATCTCGATGAGATTCTAACTCATAAAGCTTTTCATGCATCAATACAGCCTCCTGTTTTACCTGGGAGTGTGCTATTTCCTGAGAACAAAAAATTAAAAAAAGGAAAAGCTCATTATTGCCATTTTAGTCAGGAAGTTAAGGTGAGGTCATTAGGCCCTAATCCAACATGACTAGTATTATAAGAAGAAAAGAGATTAATTGGGTAGAGCAAGAGACCTTGAATGATAACACAAAGACTGACATGATGCAACTGCAAGTCAAGGAAGACCAAGACTGAAGACCACTACCAGACATTAGGAAGGAGTTTTGATGTCTCAGGGGAGCAAAGCTCTGTGGACACCTTGATTATACTTTTAGCCCCCAGAACTATAGGAGACTAGTTTTGTTGCTTTAAGCTACCCGGTTGTGACACTCTGTTATGGCATCATCAGTAAGCCAACATTAAGTAGAGCATTTCTGAATTTACCACTACTCTCCGGTTCAAAAAGAAAATATCTAGGTAAGGTGGTTCAGTGGTAGAGTGGTAGATTGATAGAGTGCTTGCCTTACATGCATGAGGCCCTGGGTTTGATTCCTTAGCACCACATAAGCAGAAAAAGCCGGAAGTGGCTCCAGTGGTAGAGCACTAGCCTTGAGCTGAAGAGCTGAGGGACAGTGCCCAGGCCCAGAGTTCAGGCCCACGACCAACAACAACGACAACAACAAAAGGAAGAAAGGAAGAAAGAAAGAAAGAAAATATCTAAAATGATGTAAATAGACATTGTGATAAAACTACTATTTGATGACAAAAAAAACTAGGAATAATGGTAGTACTAATGGTGATAATTTAACATTTAAACCCATTATTCAATGAGCACTTGTTCTGTACCAGGCACTATAGTCTTGTTACTATTATTTGGGTTTGGATTTTTAACAGTCTAGTCTCAAACTCATGAACTTCCCGTGTCATTCTGCCAAATACTAGGATTATTTTTTATATGTTATACACTCAAAACATTAGTCTACAAGAGAGAATATTATTACCTCCATTTTACAGAAGAAGGAATTGGGGATATGAGATGTAAAAAAATTTTCAAATTAACAAAAATAGAAGAGTTAACAGTGGAGCACAGGTGGCTCATGCCTGTAATCCTAGCTACACAGGAGGCTGAGATGTGAGGATCAAGGCTCAAAGCTAGCTTAGATAGAAAAGTCTGAGACTCATCTCCAATTAACCACCAAAAACGTGGGCAGTGGATCTGTGACTCAAGTGGTAGAGTACTAGCACTGAGCAAGAAAGCTCAGGGGCAGAACTTAAGCACTGGTTCAAGCCCCAGGATAGGCACACATACACACAAGGAAATAATGGTATTTGAAATCAAGACTACAACATAAATTAGGACAAAATCTTTTTTTAATTCCTTTCTCTTCCTCTTTCTTCCTCTTTCTCCTTTATTTTTTCTGGGGATGGAAAAATAGACAAGGGAAATAATTGAAAGTCCACAAGTGATAGGTTATAGAAATAGCTTATGTAACGAGCAGAAGGTCAAGTAAGAAAAAGTAAAGGCATGAGAATGCAGTATGCATATGTTTTGAGGTTCCCTTTTTCATACTATCTTCTTCTCTTTGCCTAAAATTATATGCCCTTACTTGTATCTTGATAAAACTGTTCTTAAATATACAAGACTAAGTTTTTTGCAAGCCAATGTTCTTGCACCTCTCTGAAATAAGCATGACGATACTTTGCAGAGTAGTGAACACAAACTAGATATTCAATAAACACTAGCTGATTGGCAGTTTTCTTGAGTAATAAACCCGAAATAAATGAAATTAAGCGAAAGTTAAATAGAAATAGTGACTTATTTTGTTGCTTTGAGAATATTGTAAATTGTGTTTAAAACTCATGTTGTTTTCTTACCATCATTTTATTGTTATTATCAAGGTATTGTACAGACAGTTACCACTTCATGAGTACAGGTAATGAGTACATTTCTTTTTTGGACAATGTCACCCCTTCTTTCACTTTCCCAGTTTAAAATTATTGTTATTTTAAGTATATATACACTGATACCAAAAAAAAGTGCTATCAGTACAAAACTAAATATAAGTTAAAACTCACACTTTTTCCTATGTAACTAAGCGAGTAAAAAAAGACTTGCCTCTCTCCCATTCTGTCTGAGTGAAAAATTCTACAAGACAGCTGTATTAATATTAAATGTGGTTCTTCCATGAACCTTTAAAGGGTCAAGAAAAAGAAATGTGTGTATGTGTATATGCAGGTAGACAATGAGATATAGATAATCACATTAATATTTTAATTAGGTAATTTCTTTATTAGCAAATTATCAAAAAATGAACTACAAATTACACATTCTCCCATAAGTCAGAAGATAAACTACAACCTAACTACACCTGAATCTACAGGAAATCAGGAAAATTAAGCAGCATAGTACACCAAACTGAACATTGATGTACAGTGAGTATAGTGAAGTGCCAATGACATGAAAATACAGCAGCTAATGGACTGTGTAAAGAAATGAAAATCAACTCAGGAGGTAGGGATAAAGAGGACTTCAGGTCAAAGTTAAGGTGGGCAAAAAAGTTAGTGAGGGCTGGGATGTAGCTCAGTGGCAAAGCACCTGCCTAGCAAGTGCAACGTCCTGGGTTCAATCCTCAGTACCAAAAAAGAAAAGGCACAAAAAAATACAGTTAAAAAAAAAACCTAAACAAACAAAAAATGTTTGTGAGACCATCACATTCAATAAGGTGGTTGGATGATGTACCCCTGTCATCTCATGAAGAAGGCCTAAACAAGAAGATCATGATCCATGCCAGCCAGGGTAAAAAAAAGGTAACACTCCATTTGAAAAATAATTACCCAACAGTAAAAAAGGTACTGTAGTATGGCTCCATTTATACAGCACATGGCTACCAAGTACAAGAATGTAAGTTACTGCGTTCCAGATCAAGACAAACAAACAAAACAAAATCAGAATAAAGCAAAAATTCAGAAAACAAAAATAAAACCAAGCATCTCAAAAAACAAGCAAATAAAAAATACCAAAAAGTAAATTTTATATATTAAAGCAGGAAAAAGGTGAATAATCCTTGCATCAGGATTATATCTAGGAGTAGAAACTGGAGCAATGTTTTTGGAGACAATCTGGCAATCTCATAATCTGTTTTTAGTTTCTTGTGCGTGTATGTAAATTGTCATTAGATTTTTGTATAACCTTAAAGGTTATTTTGGCAGAGCCCTAGATGGCAGAAAGATTTATCCTATTCAATAACTGCATCTAATTGATTAATAAGCTAGGATCTCAGTGGTCCAGAATGGGAAGGAAATTATTTCACTCTTGTTAGTAAACTGCTAAGTAAATATGTGCAAATATATTTGGATGAATTCCATTAATAGCTGAATTAACTTTCATAGCTAAGTGCGATGAGAAGTCTTATTTGATTTATACTTACGGTTTCCAGGCTTTCTTTTTTCATGCTCAGTGAATCTAGTTGCTGCTGAAGTATATCTAATTCCTAAGGAAAAAAAATATAAATATCCATTATGGTAAGAATTTTCAACATTTCAAATATGGATTTGACAGATGTGACAATGTAAGTTTTGCAAGTATCTTTAATTAGTATCTTACATATTAACTAGAATTTATTAAGATTTCATTGTTTGTTTCTTTCATTATTCCTAAAATCATTGCCATCTATCTTCAAAAAACATTTCATAAGCATGTTAAAGGTAACTAGAACCTTTCATAGTGAATCATTGCAGTGTTTTGAGAACATTATATATCAAAAACTTTCAAATTGAGTATCATTATTTAAAATCATGATTTAAAATCTTTACAAAATGTTTGTGTCTTTTGTATAATTTATTTTAGGGCCAGGATCTATATACACACATACCCCTCTATCTCTTCTCTCTCTCATAGACACACACACACACACACACACACACACACACACACACACACACACACACACACTCAACCCACAACATTCACCAATTGGGTAAGATCTCTGGTTACTCACAGCCCCACTCAAAATTAAAAATACTCTGGGGGTATTTTGGCAGCAACTGTGTTTAATATTTCATTGTGTTATATAAACCTTTTCTAAAATAACAAGTGATACTAAAATGTCAGTGAAAGAATGTCTGAGGAGTAAAACAATATTCTTATTAGGCCTAATTCTTTGCCAGCTTTCTGGTTAAAGGTAATCTGGCATAAAAGGAACCATCATGGCTGAACTAGGGGAAGGATTATCAGTAACCCATCATCAGGCACTTAAATTGATTATTTAAGCAACATGATCAGGAGATAAAAATTCAAAACTGGGAGATGGCAGATAAGATGCCTGCTGCTTATTAAGCAGGAAGAAAAACAAAAACAAGTTAAAAATCCATATGGTGCTAATTCATGACATTTCTTTAATGATTCCATTAAAAGCCTATAAAATTACAAGCATTTTAATCTATTTCTATGACATGCAAAAATGAAATACGCACACAAGTAAATAGTTATAACAAAGCTATGGACTAGAGGCATGGCTCAAGTGGTAAAGCACCTTCAAGCAAGTACAGTGTGCTGAGTTCAAACCCTAGTACTACAAATATAAGTACTTTCCTCAAATTTTAAATACTCTTGAATTAGTTGAGGATCTTGTTACAATACAGATACTAGGCAGAAGGTGTAGTGAAGACCTCAGGAGATGCTGATGCTGCTGTGATGTGTAGTGATTGCTACATGGCTAGTATATAGCAGTAAGCAGTATTACCTGCAACAATTTCTCATTTGTGCTTTTCATTTCTATGTACTTTGCTTGTTTTTCAGAAGACATATTTTTGATAATGCCATCTGCGGCCTGTTTTTCTCGTTCAATTTCTTCCTCTACACTTCTAATTTGTTTTTCTTTTCTGAAATCAAAAGCATGACATTTTCATGTTATTATATTGAGGAAAAAGCAAATAATTTCCATTAGGTCGGTCTTCATTTAATAGAATAAATAGAATACTTAAAAGATATTTAACTGTAGTGTGTGAATGAAAGGTCTTTCTAGTTGGACTCAAAGAAACCAAGAAAAACTACTTACACTATCAAAATTTGGCTCCATTAACATAGACTTATTTGATATCTTTCTCTTTTCTATCCTCAAATCCTATCTCTTTTTTTTAAATAAATTTTATCGTAAGGGTGATATACAAAGAGGTTATACTTAACAAAAGTCAGGTAATGAGTACATTTCCTTTTTGAACAGTGTCACCCCCTCCCTCATTCTCTCCCAGTTTTTCCCTTCCTGATTTCCCTCCCCTCAAGTTGTATAGTTTATTTCCAACATAGTGTCTAGTGGGTTTCACTGCTGAATTGGCACACCCTTTGTCTCACTGCCCAAATCCAATTTCTTTACTGTCCATTTTACTTTACTAAGAAAACACAGATTATCATAGAAAGTTATTAAGGCCTTATACATATAGAGATACATTTGGGGTACCATACCTGAAACATAAATGATAATATACATAAGGTGCAGAATAGTGGTTTTCAAGCTCCTTTTTATTTTTTATTTTTTGTCAGTCATGGGGGCTGAACTCTGGGCCTGGGCGCTGTCCCTCAGCTCTTGAGCTCAAGGCTAGCACCTTACCACTTGAGCCACAGCGCCACTTCTGTTTTTTTTCTGCTTATGTTGTGCTGAGGAATCGAACCCAGAGCCTCATGCATGCGAGGCAAGCACTGTACCACCGAGCCACCTTCCCAGCCCTTAAGTTCTTTTTTGTTTTTTCATTGTGAAAATACTATACAGAGGGGTTATAATTACATGGGCAAGGTAATGAGTACATTTCTTATCAAGCATTGTTGCCTCCTCCTTTGTTTTCCCTTCCCACCCTTCCCATCCCTTCCCATCTCCCCCCGGCCAAAGTTGTAAAGTTCGTTTTTCGACATTACGTCTTGTACATCTCCCTTAAGTTCTTTTAATGACAGAATTCAAGTAGAGCGCTTGCCTTGCATGCATGAGGCCCTGGGTTTGATTCCCCAGCACCACATAAGCAAAAAGAAGAAAAGCCAGAAGTGGCGCTGTGGCTCAAGTGGTAGAGTGCTAGCCTTGAGCCGAAGAGCTGAGGGACAGTGCCCAGGCCCAGAGTTCAGGCCCCACGACCAGAAACCCCCCCCCCCCCCCAAAAAAAAGAAATCTGCCATGTAAATTATAAAAGCATTTTTGACTAAACTGGGGTAGGCAGATCTATAGCACAACTTTAGTTTTTTTAAAGAAATGATAGCTTTTGATTAATAATGTTATACTTAAATTCTTCTATTGATTTAATTAAAATAACAACTTATTGCTATATTTTGACATTAAAATAATACATTAATTTCCCAAAAAGTATCACTGTTAAGCAGTAATAGTAAAATTTATTAAAAGAAATAACTATATTACATAATAAGAAATATCAGTGATGTGCCCCTTATTTTCTATGCAAAGCCAACAATAGAGAATTTCTTAAAAAAATAGAGATAAGTTGCCACCTTTTCATGCAAATAATTGTTTTACCTTTAGAAAACTTGATTTAACATACATTTTCAATCTCAAGATCATAAATTTCTTCTTGGGTTTCAAAATCTGAATAACCTATCACACCTTCCTATCTCTCACTCATAGATATCAACTTTTACAGCTAAACTCAGTGGCTCTACATATACTCACACCATCTATATACTTTTACCCCTAACCAACATAATCTAGATTCAGAAATTCTCCTACAAACTTTATCTCATAATAACCAAATAAAAGATGGACCTGATAAAACAGACAACCAGAATTTCAATTTAGTTTTTCTTCACTATTGGTACAGGCAGTGATGTCTTCCTTTATCCTTTGAATAGGACAGTATAACAAACATGTTTATGCTGCTACAATTTACATGGATATTTGAGCTCACAGAATTTTTGTTTGTTTGGCAATGTAGTTGGAACTGAGGGCCTTTTATTTGCTAGATAATAGTAGTTCACCATTTGAGCCATACTCCTAGCCTGCTTTAATTATTTCTTTTTTTTTTTTTTGGGGGGGGGGGGTCTGGTCATGGGGCCTGAACTCTGGACCTGGGCTGTCCAGAGGAACGCTGTCCCTCAGCTCTTCAGCTCAATGCTAGTGCTCTACCACTTGAGCCACAGCGCCACTTCCAGCTTTTTTTTCTGCTTATGTGGTGCTGAGGAATCGAACCCAGGGCCTCATGCATGCAAGGCAAGCTACCACTGAGCCACCTTCCCAGCCCCCTGCTTTAATTATTTCTTGGATAAGGTTTCATGTTTTTGCCCAGTCTGGCCTGGACTGTGATCTTCCTATTTATGACTTCTAATAGCTGAGAGGAAAAAATAACGTGTTCAGTTTGTTTGTAAAGATGAGGTCTTAGAGGTAATGACTTCCTTGCCCCAAATCATAATTCCTCCCATCTATGCCTTCTAAGTAGCTGAGATGACAGGCATGTATCACCATAGTTGGCCATACACAGAACTTTTAAGCAGAAAACTATTAATTCTGATCTGTTTTGTAGATTGACAGTAGAGCCTGACTAGAAGAGTTAATCTTTTGGAACTACTTCATTCTCAGTCTCATGAGTATGCACTACCAACACCGTTCTTCCTACTACTGTTGAGTAGAGTTGGATGTTAACTAATGTACAGTATTCCATTTTATGGAGAGGAAATGACAGTACAGAAAGGGAACTGATTTTCTGAGGCCATATAATGGGCAACTGTCAAATCTTTTAATACTTTGCTCCTATTATAACTTGGCAGTAAAACAACCAAGGAAGGTATCATAAAACAAGCAAACAACAAAGCTGAAAGGAAATAGAATACAAAACTTAATGGTATCTTTTCAATTTGAATCTAAGCACAAATACCTTTATGACTACAAATAATACTTCAGAAACAAAAGTATACAATAATATTACACAATTTAAGTCACAAAGTAAAATTCTTAATATTTTAATGTTTCTGCACAGTAATTAATGAGCCTAAATGAACAAATCACCTTCTTACACTACAAAAGTCAGAGATGACTTTAAGAAACTATTCTAGTCAATCTTTTGCTAAGGAAGCTCAGCTTTTTTTTAATCATTTGGTCACTGGGGACAAAGGTTAGAACAAAGTGAAATGCAATCATATGATAAACTTTTTTCGAATGGCGAAGAAGGAACAGAATAAATTTCATTAGCAAACCTGTGTTACAAAAGGAAAAGGTAAGATCTGATATATTTACAGGTCGTCTTGTCAAATTTAAAAAGATATTTAAGTTAATCAAGTGTACAAAACTATTTGTCTTTAAAAGTGATTAAAAAAAAAAAGGAGAAAATGTGATTCTATTTTTCATAGAAATCTCAGAAACAATATATATGTGGGAAATTTCCAGAGGATATTTCCCAGAGTTAAAATGGAACACAAAATAACTTTCTTTTCTTTGGAACAGAACGTTTCACCTAGCCCACAAAATGTGTAAGAGCTTTTTATTTTGAATCCAAAGATTCTGAATTCTGGCATAAATATCTAAAATGTTGAAGGGGAAAAACTAGATATAGAATGTGCTTAACAAAATTTTATATATATATTCACAGTATTCACAGTATTTAACATTGTTTTTGTGTGTAAAGCTTTTTTGTTCTGTAATATACATCATAGGTTATGTAAAAAGGACTCTAATTTTTTTTTTTTTTTTTGCTTATGTGGTGCTGAGGAATCCAACCCAGGGCCTCAGGCATGCAAGGCAAGCGCTATACCACTGAGCCACCTTCCCAGCCCAAAAGGACTCTAATTTTATAAAATGATTATAAAGAAATTGATATTCAATTTGTTTTCTATTTTTATTTGTTTCTAAGTAACCACAAATTAAAACTCAAATATTTCAATATAAATTTCAAATTGTGGGAAAAAGAAAACAGAAAAAAAAAACCTGATTTCCTTTTAAAATCAATTTTTCCAGTTGAAGGAAATGTCAATTTCTTCATCATTTACCTACTTGCTACTCTTGTCGATATGATTTCTATAAAATGGCCAATAATGCTAACAGGTGCTTTTGCCTAGAGATTTACTCACTGTTGTGATGGCCAACATTCATTCCTTCTCTCAATCATTTTTCTATTAAAAGACACACAAATATGTGAAAAAAATATGAGTAGTGTGGACCAAAGAGTATATCTCAGAGGTTTAGAGATAGTAATGCTTTACAATTGTTCAATGATTTCTTTTTTTGTTTTGTTTGTGAAGATAGGTGTTTTTTTTTGTTTGTTTTGTTTTTTTGGGTCTGGTCATGGGGCCTGAACTCTGGGCCTGAGCACTGTCCCTCAGCTCTTCAACTCAAGGCTAGCACTCTACCACTTGAGCCACAGCGCCACTTCCGGCTTTCTTTTTTCTTATGTGGTGCTGAGGAATCGAACCCAGGGCCTCAAGCATACAAGGCAAATGCTCTACCACTGAGCCACCTTCCCAGCCCATGTTCAATGATTTCTTGAACAGACCATTGAGTTCATATGTGCTCCTTTTAATCTAAGATTTATCAAAATATTCTTTTCTAATTCTTATTTTATTTCTTTTAGTACATTGCAAAAAACAAATATAATAGATGATAAATAGAAGATCATCTTCTGTCTCCATTTCTACGTAGGCTAACAGCCATTATCTTGCCTTTATTTCTTTCCTCATCTGCTTTAGTTAATCTTCATTTAAATCCAACTATTTTTCATATTTCCTTTAGCCATCCTATCCTATATATGTCTGAAAAAAGTACTCCCTATTTACCAATCCTTACTCACTTGTGTATCCCACCAGAGATGTAAGAACGTCACCACATGCTGAGAAACATTAAAATAAGTCACTGAACAAGTTGTTCAACCATTTCCAAAGGTCATTAAACACAGGTAAACAA